CCTGCCCAAAAGCCCCTCACCCCCCGGCCAAACCAGCCCCCGCCCGGCGCCCCTCCCCCACCTCTTCAGCTCATGCCACAGTCTCTGCCGGGGCAGCCGCTGTCCAACCAGCTTCCCGTGATCTCTCAGGTGCAAACGCACGCTGCAAAGAACACAGCGCCCCCTCCTGCCGTGGCCTCACACCCCCTCACCTCTGTGACCACTTCAGTGATTGGCTCTGTTTCCAGCCTCCAGCCGTCCTTCCTGGCCCCCACCCAGAGACCGTCGCCCAACAGCACAGCAGGCGGAACACATGTTAGCATCAAAGAAGAGCCGCTGGACGAGATAGAGGAGGCAGAGAGTCCGACCCCTCCACCCCGGAGTCCATCGCCGGAGCCGACCGTTGTCAACATGGCCAGCCACGCCAGTCAGTCTGCAAGGTGTGACACGCTGGTTTTTTTTTTAAAGGCAACATTTAACATGTGTTTAGAAGAACAAACATGTATAAAGTCAGAGTGTCGGCTGTTGGTTTGTCTCAAAAATCAGCCACACTGACGTCTTTTTTTTATTTTTCCAGGTTCATCAAACACTTGGACCGTGGCTATAACTCCTGTGCTCGAACCGACTTGTTCTTCACTCCTCTGTCCTCCTCCAAATTGGCAAAGAAACGAGAGGAGGCGGTGGAGAAGCTGAGGAGAGAGGCTGAGCTCAGTGCTCGACAAGAGCGTGAACGAGAGAAGGAGAGGGAGAGAGAGCGAGAGAGAGAGGCAGACAGGAGCTCCGTAAGTACAAGGGGTTTTTTGTTTATGAGTTTTTAAAACTTGTTTGCCTCTTACCTCTTAAATGGTCGACGCTTTCAGAGAGCCAGCTCCTCCCACGACGGTCGTATGGGTGAGGCCCAGATGGCGGCTCCAGGTCACGGACGCCCCTCCTTTGAGCAGCCCCCCACCACTGTGGCTGCCGTGCCCCCGTACATCGGGCCTGACACGCCTGCTCTCCGCACCCTGAGCGAATACGCCAGACCTCATGTCATATCCCCCAGCAACCGCAACCATCCCTTCTACATGGCGCTAAACCCCGGCGACCCCCTGCTGGCCTACCACATGCCTGCGTTGTACAGCGCCGAGCCCGGGCTGAGAGAGCGTGAGCTGAGGAACCTCAGAGAGAGAGAGCTCCGCGAGAGGATGAAGCCGGGCTTCGAGGTCAAGCCCCCCGACCTGGAGACCTTACACGCCTCTCCTAATGCCATGGAGCACTTTGCCAGACACGGTGCACTGGCTCTCCCACACATACCAGGGCCTCCTCACCACTTTGCGCCGTTCCACCCCGGGCTGAACCATCTGGAGCGTGAGAGGATGGTGCTGGCCGGACAGCAGCTGCGCCCGGAGCTGAGTTACGCCGAAAGACTCACCGCGGAGCGTCTCCACGCAGAAAGGATGGCTTCCGTGGCGACCGACCCTGCTGCCAGGCTTCAGATGCTGAATGTGACGCCGCATCACCACCAGCACTCTCACATTCACTCCCACCTCCATCTGCACCAGCAGGACCCCCTCGGTCAGGGTGAGTGTGGATTTGGAATGCGGCCTTGAAGCAGAACTTTGATGTGATGATGTCTGAGAGCTCAGCTCCACGTCATCAGTGTCTGATGATGAATCTGACCAGCCGTAGCTCTAGGGTGAACTGTTGTCTTTCCTTTACACAGGTTCAAACCCTCACCCTCTGGTGGACCCTCTGTCATCTGGACCACGTCTGGCCCGATTCCCCTTTCCTGGTGGCCCCATCCCCAACCCGTTACTCGCTGACCTCCCTCACGACCATGAGATGTTGCGCCACCCGCTGTTTGGTGTGTAATCTTGCTACTCTTACAGTTTACGGTGCGAGTCATCCAACCAAAGCAGCATCTGAACTCTTTTTCTTTTCTTTTTTTTTTTAAATTGCTCTCCGTAGGGGCGTATCCTCGAGAGCTGCAGGGACCAATTCCTCAGATGTCTGCTGCTCACCAACTCCAGGCCATGCACGCTCAGTCTGCAGAGCTGCAGAGAATGGCCATGGAGCAGCAGTGGTTACATGGACACCACCTCCAGGGAGGCCCCATACCCAGCCAGGAAGATTACTACAGGTGAGGCCCATGACTGTCAACTAGAGTTAACCATCAACCAAGCATGACTTAACACATGTTTGAACAGTTTGAACCATAATGTTTAGGGACAGTCCAGTGAAAGAATCCACAAATTGTTAAAATAATTAACAATAAAAAAAGCCGCAGGTGGAGACAGAAAGGAGAGAACATGGTTTGAGGTCGACACATTTCAGTCAACTCTCAAACAGTTTAATGTGAAGGACGTTAGGTATTCAGTATTTGTCTTTGTTGTAGCCTTTGCCTCGTTGCATCATTGTGCAGATGTTTGGTGCCTCCATCGTTGGTATTAAGTCATACACCAAACTCTGAAGACAACATCACCACATCGATACAGAGATTCCTTTTTACTGGGCTCTGGAATTTCCCTTTTTTTTTTTTTTTGTCCATAGTCTACTGCTGATAAAAGTCCCTACAGTGGACCATGCCATCGATTAATTTTTATTTTATTTATTAATTATTATTTTATTTTTTTCTAAAAACCTCTTCTGCACCTGATGCAGAGTCTCAGCACCAACAAATCACTGTAATTTTGCCAGAAACGGCAATGAAACGAGCAGGTTGGGTCGATAAAGAAGAAGTATGAATGTTCTCTAGTCCA